GGTAGTGCCCAGCAGCTGTGCTTGCCATGCAGGCAGGCTGAGCTACGCTCCCAGGCTGCACACAGCAGAGGCAGAAGTGGCTTTAGCTCACCTTGGGCTTGCATCTCTCCTTGATAAGAGGGTGCAGTGCTTCATCAAGTAGTGGACCTTATGCCAGCCATCTTTTGGCCCAGATTGTATTTCTGAAGATTGTCTTTTTTTTTTTTTTTTTTAATTGTTTTTCTTGGATATGATCAGCACAAAATAGAGATGTAAATTGCAGAGAGAGGGCAACAACAGAGACAATAGACAGGCTTGGCAGATGACAGAAAGATTAGGACTTTTTAATTGTTGTTTGTAAAAAGCTTCCTAAGGTACTGCTTCCTTCTCATCAGCTGCACAGTTAGAGCAGCTTGCTGTTGGCTGTTAATCCTCTGCTTCAGATGATGGATCTGAAAGCTCCCGCTCAGCTGCTGGTTTATGTGGGCTTTGACATTTTGCTTGGGGCAAACCTCTATTAAAATAACATTGAGTGCACTAAGTGGATGCATCAAAAGTCAGCTAAGGCCAATAGTATAATTTCTCATATGACTTGCTTTCATTTGTGCTCCGTTAGGACAGGGATGATGAACAACAGTGAGGACTTGCATAAGAATACTAACGGTCACTTGATTAAAAAGTGGTCGTTAAATGCAGTGTAGGGGAATGGAAAGTGATAGATAGGTGGAACTGCTGTTGTGCTGTGTGATCAGAAGTGAGCTGTGAGCAGCTGCTGCAGCCCAGGAGCAAAGGCTTGGGGCTGTGGTTCAATTCCCCACAGGCATCAGCTCTGTCCTCTGAGGTCAAAAGAGCAAATGACATGTTGGGAGGAAGTAAAGAAGCTGAGGATGGGAGATGGCACGTGGTGAGGCCGTGTAGATGTGTGACTTTTCCTTGGATAGCACATTGATCTCACTTGGTCTTTCTAGGAGATTACAGGTTAAGGAATGTTGCAGAAGAGCTGCAGAGGTAATCAGAAACATGAACCTGCTGCTTCTCCTTAAAGTATGTTGGGTTATTAAGACTGTTTTCTGATGCAGGAGTGCCAGCTAACTAACAGGAGGTAATTTCAAAATGGGAAAGTCCTCCATTTAACAATATGGAGTCAATCAGAGGAAGATCTTGTGGCTATGGGTGCTGATAGGCTGAGGGGAATGCAGAAGCCAAAGGCACGCATCCTGCTAGATAGCAGAAGAGACAGGGAACCTCAGCGCTGCTCTGAGCTGATATCCATGATGGTGTCCATCTTCTAGAAATAGGCTCAGAGCCTCTGAGAGTATGAAAATAGTTAACAATGGAGTGTTAGGGCTTGGAAGCGTCAGTGATTGCAATCTTAAAACATGATAACAAGATATTTTTTGTTCTTCTCTTTTGTATCATTATCACGGAGCTGTCAAGCACCGGAAGATGCGTAGTGGGGGAAAAAATACAACCCAAAACCCAGACATGTGAAGAGAATTTATGTTACGGTTTTTATGGTTGTTATAGTTACTCTAAGTGCTGTGTTGGAGAGCTAGTGTGGATCTCTTGTCACCCACAGTTAAATGATGCTGAGCAAACACTTAACTTCTGCACCCTAATTTTGTTCTTTATTTTCTGTCTGTTCAACCAATGTCACAGTTTGCATTAATACTCAGAAGTGAATTGATGCTCTTCAGTAAATGTGGAAATTTTACAGAAATACAAAACCCTCAGAGATATTTATGGTGACGATAGCTTTGATCTTTGCACCTTTTCCACTCTTAAAAAATAATATGTGATAGCATGGTGAAGTGGGGTTATGTGTTGTGGTGTGCACCTCTGAAGAAAACAAATGCCCTTGAGTCTGTTGTGGGTTCACATAGCATCTGATAATTGAAAGCACATTGCACAACTAGAATAAAGAGGACTATTGAATAACTGCTTGTATTGGAAAATGGTGTGAAGGTTGTTTAGCTCACTGCTGTGAGATGAAGCCATCTCTTTAAAACAGACCAAATCACTGTTTTATGAAGCACTGTGCACTAAGCATACGAGATTGAAAGAGTAGTGAGGAACTTTGTTGATCAAATGTAAGTAACTTTTTCTTTTTCTTTCTCTCTTCACACTACCTGCTCCTCTTCCTGGATTGCTGCTGTACCTGCATGGGCTCCTTGCTGCAATGGCTCAAATTCATTCTTCCACCGATCATACTGTTGGATGTGTTCTATCAATGTCTTCAACACTGGAAATGATGGAAATGCGTTGTTCACAAAGTAGCTGTAAGTATTACTTTGGTAAAGACGTATTACAACTTCTGTGAAACACAGTAAATGGCTTTAGTAAGTGAATTGAACTGAGCTGGGTGAAAGTCAGGAAGGGGTGAAAGCTAAGGAGACCCTCTGGTAAGTGTTGGAGACACGAAGTCTTGCCCTGCACGATGATCCATGCTGTGGAATGTAATGCTTCAACAACAACAGTAAAAGTAATAATTTATTTTAAAAGTTGTTGGAGGAGCTTAAGAAACTTGATTCCTCCTATTTTTTGCTGTTTTTAGAAGTAGAAGGTGTATGAACAAATCAGATCTTTTCCAAGTCAGTACAGTGAAAGTGCCAATTTTAGTTGATGTTGGCTTTCCAGAAACTGGAATTTGACAACTGATTTTGGTTTTTACAAAGGCTCCTTCCTGTTGATGGAATATAGGTCCTTGAGTCAAACATGGCATTCAGATTTGACACTTCATACATCGTTTTGTTTAGTGACATCTCTATTTTGTTTGAATTAAAACAGATTGTGAATGTAAACATTATACATCAGCTTAACAGAGCAAACAAGCTGAAAGTTGCTGTCTAGTCTTGTTTGGCATTTCATTTTCAGATTTCTTAAAGTTCTTAGCAGTAATACCATTCCAATTGTGCAACTCTTTGTAAAGGAGAAGGAAAGGAAATAAGAATAATGTAATCAATGCAAAAGTTATTTCTTTTGCTTAAGAATAGTTTCTGGTAAGAATGGCTTACATTAAAACGTATGTGCAAATTGACAAGCAGAACTGTAAGGAGTGTCTGTATATGATTAGGCATTTTGTGTCTGTGGGATAAATAGCAATTACATATATTTAATAGTTGTTAAGGACCTGCCCTGTTGAGGAACTTTTTCATAACTTAAAGAACATCCAACTCAGTGAGAGTTACTGTCTCTGAAGCATTGGCTCCTGTTTAGCTTGTTGGAGTGTAGCTGATTATATTTCTCACGTGTTGTGGTGATTAGGAAAGTCAAACAGTCTTTGAATTAATTAAAAAAAAAAAAGTAAAGAACTCAAATCTTCTAAAACTTTTCAAATGAGCCTTGAGACTGAAATGAAACAAAAAGCAGAATAGAATTTCTTAGAATTTCTTGATGACAAAAGGCGAAAATCACACATTTGGAGTACAAACATCTGTTTCTGTGTGTGTTTGAACTTGAAGCTACAATACCCAGCTTTAGCAGGCTGTCATTAAATATTCCTCTCCTATTCTGTATGAATTAATTAAAAGATGCTGCCTTTTTAAAAATGGGAAGGCAATTAATGCGTTGTATTATCACTAAATGAGAACTGATAAGCATTTAGTATTAGGATTAAATCTTTCTTTCCTAAGCAGTTCTGCTAAATTCAGCCTCTTTGGATTTATTTACACTGGTGCCATCACTGAGTTTGTGTTACAGTGATGTGGCATTCATTGGGAGTAGTGATTTCTCTGCTGAGTGGAGATAGCAGTTATGTCAGTTTAAACTGACAATTTAGGTAAAATTAATTAATTGACTAGTGCCTTGGGATTGCAAATAAGCTAATTCTTAGGGCATTGTGTGCATTGAAAAAGGATAGCATTTTTCTATACCTGCAAGGAATGCTTGCTTTAATTAAAAAACATTTCCTTTTGAAGTGTAGGACTTCCTGCTGTGAACATGTTGGTTTTTTTCCTGTTTATTTCAGTATTTAGAAAAAGCATCCAAATAAACACAAATTGTTTGTAGAATTTAATGTAGAATTTAAATCAACCAGACTCCTTCCCATACAGGCAAGGTCTAAGGCAGTAGTGCCTGTAGTAGAACAGATTTGTGTGTGGGTTTTCATAGAATCTCTGTCCTACTGAAGTTTGTCTTGGAGAGGGGAATTCAAACTGGCACACAGTGCTTCGACTCTGGGTGCATGTAACTCTTAAACTGTGAAACTGAGGCAACATCAAGTCACGTTCTGTCATCTTTGGTTGGACATAATGTACTGTTTTAAAGCCACTGTTCCATATAAAACAGTATCTGGTGTTGCTTTCAGTAGAAAAAGTGCCAAAAGTGTTTTTGCCTTTTCTGTAAAAGAGAGCTAAACTGTTGTATCTCATAAGAAGATCCTCAGCAGACCAGTTTCATCATCAAACACATTTCTAGGATTCTGCTAGAAGAATGGTTTGAAAGTAACATGGCTGAAGGGCAGCGAGGGAGCAGCATTTTAAATACCTCCAACATTTTCATTTTTGTGGTGAGAAAGAATAATGGCTAGCATCCAAAATTCTCATCTCTTTTCGTAGTAGGGCAATATTATGAGTTTTTCACAGTAAAGGGCAACTGAAGTTTTACATCTGTGAAGGGTTGTTGTAATGTGTGCTGCATTTGCAAACACTGGGCACAGATTGACCACAAAGGGATGTGTGATGCAGAACGGGAGTGCATCAAATTAGTCCAGAAATATTAGGGCAGTACCACCAAGACTCACAAGAATATGCTCCTACAACTTGCCTGTGTTTTAAATGAGTTTTGGAACAAAGTTTTTAATGTTTGTACTTGCACACTGTTGTGCTTGCACAGTCACAGTGTTAACACAGCTTGCTTTCTGTGCAAGGCTGGGTATTGCTGCAGTGCACTGCAGTGTCTTTGCATACAGGTCAGGATGTTGAGAGGTAGACAGGCATTGCCTCTTTGGGTTCTAAGAAAATACAATCCCACTAAGTAGTTGGAAACTTCTTAAACTTGTGAATGTCTCTTGTCTTAGCAACAGAAGAACCTTGAAGGATATGTGGGGTTTGCAAATCTTCCAAATCAAGTTTACCGGAAGTCCGTGAAGAGAGGATTTGAGTTCACGCTCATGGTAGTAGGTGAGTTTCTTATTCACTGAGTAGGAATCACTGGGTGTTGACATAGTTCTAACACATTATCACGTTGAGTTTTATTTTGCATGGTCTTTGAGAAAACAAGCATCTTTGTCTTCTTGACTGTTAGACCTAGAGTGTTTGGAAAGAACATGTCTTATGCAGGTAGATCAGGAAGAGAACAAAGAACAAGAACTCTGCAGTTTATGTAATTAAAAAAAAAAAAGGCTGATGTGGGTCTTGTCTAACAGATGACTTGCATGTATCACAGAACAGAAGGGATTTGAGCTCACATTTTCATCTGAATAAAAATGGAACTGCTTTTACAATGGTGAATGAGAATCTGGAATCCCAGTGCAGTCAGGTCCTGCCGTTTGACCATATCCAATGCATTCTACATTTCTGTGGCCACAAAACTGTGGTACAAAATCAAAGCTTTAATTTAAACAAACCTTTCTAGTTTGTATGGTTGCAATGAAAACCAAATGTAAACAGTGGGTTCCCTATGGACTACAGGCAATTTGAAACTGTAGTTGGTATGGATGAAAAATGGACATAATAGTTCATCTAGGTGTCAGTGATCATCCCAGTTGTTATCTGCTTTGATAGGACATCTGATTTCCCTTTTATTCTCATTTGAGTATTAGTGTGGTAGTCGATCATGATTACAGTTTGGTACTGAAGCATATGTACTGGTTATGTAATTCAATTTTGTCATGCTAATGGTCCAAACAACACAAAATAATTTTGTAATAGCCATCTGTCTCTTTCTTGATGCCTGCCTTTGTCTTTTGTAATTTGGATAGCTTCAATGCTTTGTTTTGTCATCAATACAATGGACATGCTGTGCAGTATTCACGTACATGTTACATAAAAGTACTGTTGACAAAGTTAGAAACCAAGGTCAAATTGGTGAATACTTGTAGTTCAATTATTTTCTATTGATTACAAAATGAACGTTATAAAATTTGAGGTTTTTTTTTTTTTTTTTGAATTATTGTGGAACTAGAAGTCCCTTTTTAATCTAGCATCCAATTACAGAATTCATTTCTTACAGAAATCTACTGTTTTGAATAAAATATGGTTTTCTGCTCTTGGTGAATGGGAAGGAAAAACTCAATGACACAAGGACTTGAGGACTTAAACTGTCCAGTTTAAGCCAAAATGGGCTATAGTTTGCTCTTCATTGTTTCAATCTTGCAAGAATCAAGTCACTTAAAGCACAAATAATGACATATATTAGAAGTACAGGAAGTGAGTGAATTTAAAGTTGTGGTCTTACTTTTGTCTGTACTTTAGTCTAATGCAGTTGCATTTAGGGAAGCTGTAGAAAATGTCTTTTGAGAAGAAGAGTTGATGGAAAAGATGATCTTGACTAGAAAATTGTGTTACTACTTCTATGTTTAGCTCTGTTTTTGTGTATAGTGCTAAAACTTAATTGCATTTGTGAACAAATCTGTTTCATTTTCTGCATGCTTACTCAGGGAATCGTCAGTAGTTTTCTAAATTTGAGTGTTGATTTTTACCATACCTCAAGTACAGAAGGTTTGTGTGTGGACGTGAGTGTTGGAACCATGATCCACACATGATCTCTTCATACTAGTAGCTTATGTGTGTGTGAGGGAGTATTTTTGGGTGGCAAATTTCAGGGTAACTCATCTGGTGCTGAAAAGATGCATCCATTTTAACTATAAACATAGTTTGCATTTTACTGAATACTTGCTTATAAATGTTGAACTCTAACGTGCAATTTAATTCAAGTAATTAACTATTGCTGTGTTCATGCTTTGAGGTACTGTAAGCTAATGTGGGTTTGCAGTCTTTAGCTGCCAGTGGGATAAAATTTACTAATAGTTAATGGAATGTCCTGTAGTCTGCATATTTGGATTTGAAGGTTTTAGCACTATGTTCTGTTCTGTATGTGGTTGGTGCTGATTAGCTAAGAACTGCATCATCTCTTCTTGAAAGTCTGAAATACTCTTCTGCTCTTTTCTGCTGCCAGGAGTCATGTCTGCATTGCTGCCTCTTGCTGTAGATTGAACAAATCTGCTGCTTCTGCTTTATTTATAGGTACTTCAGTGTCAGTAAGTTAGCTGTTCTGAAGTGAAAAATCAGTTTGGTAAACAGATCCAAGGAGGAGCTCGTTTGGGATCTGCCATCTCTGTATCCAGCTGTTTTCAGGTGTTTGGGAGGCTTTAATGTGCGTTTCCATAGATGCTGATAGTTGTTCATTTAGTCTGGGATTGTCAATACAGCTTACAGGATTTATACAGCAAGACACGTGGCTTCTTTGTCTTGAAATGTGCTCTATAAAATGTCACTGGTGTTCGGGAGGGACTTGTCAGTGTAGTCAGTTGTACAGTTACACTGTTGTAGAAACACTTCAATTTTCAGTTTTCCTCTGAATATGTATTAAATACAGCGTCCAACAAATCCAAACTTCTTGTTCCAATAAGAAATTTGTCAGGGAGGTCAGTTTTACAGATTCTGTCCAGGGTGTCAAATGTGACTGTATCCCAAACGCCTGCAGTGAAGGCACCTTGCTTCCTGTATTCGTGCTGGGCAGTGATGTTGGAGAATTTGAAAACATTGAGCATGAGGCCCAGTGGTTGCTGAAGAACCTGGCATATGTTTTCTGGAGTGGATTCAGGATGTGAATGCTCCTTGTTGAAGCTGTTGGAAGGTGCTTGTGGGCATAGCTTTGGGAAGGGCTCCATTTCAGCCACGTGGGGCAGCATGCTGTCCTGTGATTTGGTCCAAGCCTAGATTTGGTGCAGTGAGCTTATTTCTAGTGAAGTATTTTCTGGAAGTGTAGTTGCTAATTCTCAAGTGTTCCGGTGTTTGCATTAAATGCAACTAAAAGGTGATGTGTTTATGAAGTACTTATGAACAGCTGATGTAAAAAAACGTTTCACGTTTGATGTTTTAAGTATCATTGAAAAGTTAACTTTGCAGAGTAATTCCAATTCCTGTTACAATTTGGCCGTTAGAAGCATTTCAGTTTTTCAGCCTCATTAACTATAGTCATGTTTTCTCTAAATTCAGTTGTTTCTTTTGGTAGTGTTTCTAAAATTTTCTTAAGAAATATAGCCCTTCTTATTCCTATGTGATCACAGAATGGCCAGGGTTGGAAGGGACCTCAAGGATCATGAATCTCCAACCCCCTGCCACATGCAGGGCCACCAACCTCCCCATTTAATACCAGCCCAGGCTGCCCAGGGCCCCATCCAGTCCAGCCTTGAACACCTCCAGGGATGGGGCATCCACAGCCTCTCTGGGCAGCTGTTCCAGCACCTCACTGCTCTCATAGTAAAGAATTTCCCCCTGACATCTAACCTCGATCTTCCCTCCCTCAACTTAAGACCATTTCCCCTTGTCCTGTTCTTATCTATTGTTTCAAAGAGTTGATTCCCCTGGGCTTACGAACAGGCTGATGGGTTGTGATTTGGACATTGTTTTGTTTAGTGGTCCCACGAAGCTTTTAATCCCTAATAGATGTATTCTAAAAGGCTGATCAGCATTTCAAGTGAAATAATGCTATTTCTGACGTTTCTATTTGTAGAATGGATACTAAGAACCTTTTCTGAGGATAGGATGTCAAGCATGCAGAAATAGGCACTGAAGGTTTAAACCCTGATGCTTTCCAAAGAAGACATTCGAATGATTTTATAGAGCAGCTAATTCTACATCTTGCATATTGAAATCTCACCAGCGGAAGAATTGTCAACTTAGTCTCTGCAGTCTCTTTTCTATATGACCCTATGTCATCTCATCAAATATAGATAGATGTTGAAATGTTTGAGGGTCCATGATAAATACATGGTCTGTATGGAATAAAGTCTGCAGTCTCTATTTTTCTACTTTTTTTTTTCCTTATTAAGGAAATTACCTGCCAAAGTCAAACTCACAGGAAGACTTCCAGAAGTAAGACAACAGTAGTTTGTAGCTCACAGTTGAAGAAAATCTCAGCTATGAATTTGTGTTTTTTTGCTTACTGATATAATTACAGGTATTTAAGTATCAGGTGTGTTTTGGTTTTTCATTTGTTTGATTTTGTTTCAGTGTAGTGAGAGCTGTGGAACAAATAGTTCCTTTTTGCTCTCTTTCTTCAAAGGCCTGCATCAGGAAATGCCTCTTCAGTTGCTCTTGTGCAGAAATGATGCTGGTAACAAGTGATTTGAACTGAAGATACCAAGTCATAATTTATTCTAGAATTCTTTTTACCTATAGTCTCCAGGTACTTGAGCTTAATATTTTGATGTGGCTTTCCTTAGAGCAGCGTGCTTTGAGGTATTTGAGTTTAATGATGCTTTTTAGCAGTTGGACTTCTAAATTTTGTTGGAAAAAAACTTATCTGATCTGCAGTGTGTGCAGAACCCCCTACAGGCAAGTGACTTTGCAGAGGACCTTTCTACTCAGTTCCTATTTCTAGACCAGCTGTTTTGACTCTGAAGGCAGTTTTGAATCCTTTCCTGTAGCAAATTGACTGTTTTGTTTTCTAATTGTTGCTTTAGTCTTGTAGATCACATGTGGATTACAACTTAAAGGAAAATATCATGCAGTACTGTGATGGTGTTTTGTTTGTAATTACATGCAAGCTTTAAAATGTTTTGGTTTAAACATTGCTTTTTGGCTTAGACTCAAATGGAAAGGCTGTATTTTGCAGGACTTGAAGTTACTTTTGAGAAAAATGCCTTTACTGGTCCCTGGAGAAGATTTTGATTGGTATAATAGTAGTATTTTTCTGATGATGGATTGTGTTCTGATTAGAATCACCCTTCTGTTCGCTGTCTGGTTTTATAAGACCAGCAAGTGTACCAGCTGCCTGAGATGCTCATGTGTACTTGTTCTTTGCCAGTGCGATGCTCTTCCTTCCTAGCTGTGCTCATAGGTGGGATAGAAGCCATTCAGTAAAGGATAGGAAGAAGAATTAAGTGCAGAATAACACATGGATTGACACTACCCCTCTGGAGAATGTTCCCATTTGTCATTGATCTGCCATGTGTTTAG